TTGATTTTTAAAATATTATTCGAAAACTAGGGAGGGAGAAATCAATCAAGGAACAGAGATGATATAGGTGTTAAGTAATAGCTTTTAAACTACCGTTCGAGACGCATTGGTGTTATTTTGGTTTATAAATTTTGGTTATTGAGACAAAGAATGTTATTAAAGGTTGTAGTATAACAACCCAAATTCGGGTTGTAGTTTAACAATCCCCATTTCTCTTTTATTGTTCGAAAAAACAATGGTGTTTAAAAGTTATCTGCTGTCTTTTTACCTTTATATTTAAAATGTAAAAGACAACCTGTAGTAGATATATTGGCAATATAGTCATATAGTTTGTCCTCTTGATCACTAAAAATTACGATTCTTGCCTTATCCACGACAAAGTTACAGGGGGCCAAAAGTGCCGTCAGTTGCTTCGAAAAAAGAAGGTTGAGAATACCAAGATCGTGAAAAAATTCAAGCTACATTTGCCATATGACATCGTACACGATAGATAGGGAGAATTGAATATACACCTGAAATTGCCAGTGACAATAATAATTGTCAATTACTCTAGAGTTCCTGATATTTTGATAAACGTGGCAACATTCTATCGCCTTTTTTAATAAAGAAAACCTTATTTTTTGCGAAGTTCAATAAGAAAGAACGAGAAGAAAGGTCCGGCACATCAATTTTCCCTGAAATTTTCCTTGTGAGAAGGAAAAGCTAGGGAAGGATCAGTGAAGTTCGGCAAAAAACTCAGGCGTTGTAATCTTAGACCGACCAAGACTGTATTATAAACAGTTTCTTGCCACAAACGCTCCCCATCATCAGGGTCCGTCATTTTTTTGTTCCTGCTCGTTTTTTGAGTACCTTAGATTTTTTTGTCTGGCTCTAACCAATGCAATGCTTGGAAGTTCGTTTGTACACAGGAAAAACTAAATAAATAGCTTAAATACGAGGCATGTTTTTTAAGTAAGTACCGTTTTGGAATTTAAAAAAAACGTGCAAAGATATCGCAATAATTTTATTTTTACATGAAAGCCTGTACCTTAATCTACTTTTCTACATAATTTCCGTGAATATTGAGGCACTTGTCATAACGTGGCACCAGTTTTTCAATACCCTCCTCATAAAATTCTGCCGCCTGACTGGTTAACCACTGTATCACAACTGTTTTGACTTCGTTATCGTCTTGAAGACGCTGACCGCCCAGGTGTTTCTTCAAGTGCAGGAATAAATGGTAGTCACTGGGCGCCAGATCAGGGCTGTATGGAGGATGATCTAGAGTTTCCCATTTAAAAGATTTGATGAGATCTTTGGTCCGATTAGCCACATGTGGACGGGCATTGTCATGCAGCAAAACAATACCCTTACTCAATTTGCCACGTCTTTTGTTTTGGATTGCACGGCGCAGATTGTAGGCTTGCGCAAAAAAACTGTGCACATGATTTTCCGGGCAGAAATAGTTTGCTTAAACTTCACTGTTTTGGGTGATGATGAATGTCGCCATTCCATGGACTGTTGTTTCGATTCTGGTGTGACGTAGGCCACCCATGTTTCATCACCAGTAACAATTTTGTCTAAAAAATCTTCACCTTCATTGTGGTACTGCTCAAGGAAAGTCAATGCACTGCTAAGCGTTGGGTTTTGTGCAAATCCGTCAACATTTTCGGAACCCAACGTGAACACAATTTCTGGTAATTCAAGTTCTCGGTCACAATGCGATACAAAACACTACGAGAACATTGAGGAAAGTAGTCGCACAATGATGAAATTGTAAAGCGTCTGTTTTCTGTCACCTTTTCGTCCACTTTCTGCACCAAATCTTAATTAACGACCGAAGGACGCCCACTCCGTTCTTCATCATGCACATTTGTGCGGCCATCTTTAAATGCTCTCACCCATTTCCTTACCATTCCATCACTCATAATGTTTTTTCCATAAACTTCACAGATCTCACGATGAATATCGATCGGTTTTACGTCTTTAGCACTAAGAAATCGTATGACAGCCCGTACTTCACAATCGGCGGGGCTCACGATTGTCGGAGGCATCTTAAACACTCAATAAACAACGTATACAATGAAGAATCAGGGGGGCAATTTTTGGCTATTCGTTTCCTTGCAAATTGTTCGCAACTTTTCGATCAACACTAAAATCCAATTTTTAAGTGTTCGTATTTTTGCGTATTAGCAAATTTCCCTGCGTTCTCTTGCGAGCGGATCGACAGCATCGTAAGGGTATGTTTTCTAAGTGCGCTTATTAGATTTGATAGTTCCATGTTTGTAGTTGGGTTTAGGTGTATCAATAATAGTAGTGGATGACTTAATGAACGTTTTGGCCATTCGAAACCTAGAAAATGCAGAACTGCCCTAATGTTTTGCGCAATCCGGGGATTGCGTTCATAGAACTGAGTGAAAGGCAATTTATTAAAGATAAAAAAATTTCGGTTATCCAAAGACTTGTGCCGTTTTTTAATTCAGTTACTTGAGCCGTACATGCGACCACAAAGAAGACTGATTGGGATGTACAAAGCCGGGTAACATTTTTCTCTATTATTGTATATCTATGAAGTAACATTAAATTTCAGATTTTAGCTTTAGCTGCTTTGAAATTTTACGGAATGTTTTTGTTACCAAACCCACAGATATCACGATGAATAAATACGATCGGTATTACGTCTTTAGCACTATTCAATCGATGACAGCTACCAACGGTCTAAACAATCGGCGGGGCTCACGATCAATCGGAGGAATTTAAACAATTTTGATAAACAACAGTATACAGATGAAGAATCAGACTGTACTGGCGTCTGTTGCATTGCCTATTGCAGATGTAGGTAACCATTGCGCTGCATGCGCGGAACGCCGACCGTAGCGCTGCGGCGGCGGAATCGCAAAACGGTACTTACTTAAAAAACATGCCTCGTAACAATTTAAATCAAGTAAATAAATATGTATTGCTTTGATAATTGATTATATGAGGTAGAAATCTGTTTGTGCCTTGTTTTTGAGTATATATATAAAATAAAATTTATCTTGAAAAGTACACAGTCATTCAGAAGCTCGCAATTAGTAGAATAAATTAGGGGTTTCAATTAGCGTAGAAGTTTGTTCCTCTTATTTCAATGTAAGCGTTCAGAACGTCAAAATTAGTGGTAGTCATTTTCAATTAGTAAAAAAAGTTAACAAACACACTAGTGGACTTATCCACTAATTATCAAAGTTTGTGAGGAATGTAATTTTGGCCTTTGATTATCATCCGTCAAGAGAAATTGTGATTAGAAATCAAAAGTTGATTGTTTTATAAGCTCAATATTAACACTGATTATACAGATTATAATCTTTGTTTTTTCTTTATTGTTTTTCGTGGTTCCAATTTTCAGAATTGGGCACTAGTTAGGTTACTAGTTTGCGCACATAGCACGCCCACTTATGGCCTCTAAAATTGTGCACAGCGCCTGACCGGCACAGTTATTAGAGAGATATCGGAAAACCGAATAGCGTCATCCAGTATTTACGCGTACTTTATCATGGTTACGAAATGCGCGAGTCAATTTTTAACGCAACACCCGCTAATAACGTTACCGCCTGACGTAATTTGTGGATCAATTACACCAAGCGCTCGTTCTAAATAACCTCTGATAACGTTTAAAAATTGCTTAAATGGGCATGTGCGGGTATTTGACAACCGGAGCCGGCCGGCGAGATCTTTTATTTTAGGTTATGTTTGAATTGTTTTGAATTATTGCTTTAGTTTTATTAGGTAATTTGATATTTAAATAGCTGGGATTAGTTTTAATTAAATAAATATGGCCCAAAATATGGATTCCACCTCTTCCAATACTAAAGAACCTATAAAGAGTCTTAGAACCTATACTAAAGAACCTATAAAGAGTCTTATGAAGAGAGTTAATACCACCTCACGTAAAGGAAATAACACCTGGCCTTATTAACGTCCATGCACGGTATTCGGTTTAGCGATATCTCTCTATTACGCTGTTTATTGTTATTTTACGCGAGTTTATTTTTTATCAGTGTATTGTAAAAAGTATGAAGTACTAAGTAGTTCTTTTATTCATTTTAGTTTTTTCTTGAGGGGGATTACTGTAAATGAGCGAAGGAGAAGCTTAAAGAGATGGGGGATATATTTTTTCTAGTCTTCTGCGTAAAAGTTAAAGCTTTTTGGGACAGACGTGGTGAATAATTGAAGAGTTTTTTTTTCAGTTAGAGGGGATATTTTTTTATGAAAAATCGATGCCTTTTTTTATACTGAATATAGGAGGCCTTAAAATTAATTATTAGAAAAGGGAAAAATAACAGTGAAACTGGATCTAACAGTAGTGTAACTTGCTACAGTAATTTTGTCACACAAATAATATGTTGCTTTTACTTATTTGTTTTCCCAAGTGTTAAAATTGCCTTATATCTATCAAAAATAGTAGATAAAATAGTACTTTAACCGCAAGGGTAGATTAAATGATATAGTTTGTCCAACGAGAAGATCCTTGACAGTGATAGATGTGTCTGTCATTTTAATTTCAAAGTAGTTTATTTTATTTTACAAAGAAATAAGTTGGCACAAAGTACTGCATAGCAGGAAATTAATATATTTAAAATTTGACTAACAAGCGAATACTTCAAAATATTGTGAAAAAAACTGTATAAAACTGAAAAAATGTAATCGAGTTATTTTATTTAATTAAAAACGGTATGTGTTAATACAAAACAAACAAGAACACCACATACCAAAAAAATATAAAAAAGAACTATTTCTTACTTTCAAGCTTTATGAAACTTCCCGCATTTATGATTATATTTATCAATATAACTTATGTACAATTACAAATTTGTAATATTCTGCAGGTATAAATAAAACAACATAAATAAAACAAACTATTTTATTAATAACAACACCCAACATTAAACTTTTCGGTCGATGATAATTTTATCCACCAGTTATTATAAAAAATAACTATTAATTGAATTTTTACTAATGTGAGCTTTTTCTGATTGCTTCAGGGCAGTGATAGGGGTAGCAGGGGTGAGGCCCACGTGAAGTGTCCCCCTGAGGGACACTCGCCGGTGGACGCCCCGCCGACCCCCGAAGAAGAGGAGGCCGATATGGGACCCTGGCCACCCGGTACCAGTTTCAGCGCCGTCCTGCTCAGGTCAGTACCACCCATTTAATACAATTCATACCAAATAAACTTTTAGTCCCGTCATTAAGCTTGACCGGCACAGCGTTGCCAACTTTTATGTATTTTCTTTTAATCAAAATATTTTAGGAAACAAAAATAAATTAATTATAAATATATAAACAGTTATTATTTACATCAACAAAACTCACCTTCTTAACAGGACTTAGGAGACATAAAGGGCCATTACTACCGTTTTCCCGTTCAAAATATTCTAATAAAGTTGCGATGAGTTTTTTATGGCTAGTTAGTTATCTTGTACACTTAGGCTTCAGAAGTTCACCGACAGATCAACTGTGAACGACGATCAAAGCAAAAAATGCGTTGTACCAAGCCTGAACGCCGTTCAAATTGCCCGGTCAACTGACCGGTGACATTAGGCGGTTCAAGCGTCGTTCAGGGGTAGACATAACCTTATTATTTGACATATTCCGCTTTTCGTTGTTTTGAATATCGTTTTGTTATTAAGATTTTTCGTAATGGATCCTTTATTAGGTGAATTAACGGACGACGAAGACTTTTTAGAATTAGTGAGACAAATGGAATGACGTGGATTTTAAGAAAAGATTTCGACTTGTTAAACCTATTGTGAATTATTTAATAGAGGAAATTTCCGGTTTAATTGCATCTAAAACAAACAAGTAAGTTTAATTATGTATATTTACTGTATCTTATTTAAGCTTTTATTTTTAGAAATCATGCTTTAACACCAGCTGACATGGTATTTATCACATTACGGTTCTTAGCAACGGGATGTTTTCTACAAAGTGTTGGTGATATCAGTGGTGTAGACAAGTCTACTACGAGCCGCTTGATTACAAAAGTAACTAGAGCTATAGCATCTTTAAGCAAGGACTTTATTAAAATGCCAATGGGAGTGGAAGATAGAAATTCAAAGGCACAAGGATTTTATAATATTTGTCGCTTTCCAAGATGCATAGGAGCAGTTGATTGTATGCATGTGAAGATACAATCTCCTGGGGGGGCAAATGCAGAGAATTACCGCAATAGGACAGGATTTTTTTCATTTAATGTCCAAGCAATTTGTGACAGCATTTTGAAAATATCTAACATTGTGTGTAGATGGCCTGGTGCTACACATGATTCAATGATTTTTAGAAATTCTAGAGTAAAGGCTGAGTTTGAAAATGGAGTATATGGAAATAATTTATTAGTAGGGGACAGTGGGTATGGAGTAAAACCATACCTAATAATCCCTTTGGCGAATCCAACAACGAGGGCTGAAAACTTATTTAACGAAGCTCAGATAAGAACAAGAAACCCAATAGAAAGGTGTTTTGGTGTACTAAAAAGAAGATTTCCTATATTAGCGACAGGTATCTGTTTAAATGTTGATAAAGTAGAAGCGATAGTGGTTTCCGCTGCTGTTCTTCATAACATATTGTGTCATTTTGCAGATCGAACACCATTAGTAACTGATGAAATTGAAGCGGAAATAAACATTGGAAATAATATAGGAGAACATGTTCCAAATGACTTGGGTGGTATAAATAATACTGTTAGATATATAGTTTAATTAATGAATATTTTGAATCACTGTAAATATGTTATTTTACGATATAGAATATTAATTATTTAGATATAGAGTATTAATTATTTACACCTAGAACTAATTATTTACGTCTAGAAAATGTTTCATTATTATTTTACTAAAACATTTTTACAATGTCTTAATGTTTTAAAGTCAAAATAACTTGTTAATTAATTAAATTGTGATTATAATTACCATAAAATAAATTACCATTACATACTCTTGTGTATATTTTGATTTATGTATATAATATTTTTATTGTATGTATAGGATTATTATTTATATTTTTGATAATTCTGATTATAAGTAGATAATTAAATAACAATAATTAATAAATGATATTAAATTAATACAATTCAGTATACTTGTTGTTTCTCTAGATATGTAATATGTGAAAGAAATAAAACGATATAATATGTATGCATATTTTCAAAATTCATATATATTGTGTGTTAAGTATTTATTGGTCAATTATTTTTTTTATTAGTTCCTTACTAAATTTTAAAAATTGAATTCTCTCATCATGCTCCCTTTCTTGCTGCCTCATAAAGGCTTCATGCTTTTCCTGTATTTGAGACATTTTTAAATTGTGCTGCTCTAGGAAACATTTCTTTTGAAGCTCAGCGAGTTCAATTTTTGAACTACTCCAATCTGTTAATTTTTTTGTTAAAACCCTTACATACTACCCTCTAAATATAGATTTCACTTTATATAATAATATAATATAAAAAATAAGGTATGATGTACAGATGTACTAGCTAGAACGTCTAAAAACTAAATGAACGAATCGGTCAGCCGCGAACAGGTATTAAAAAGTCGTATTTTATGGCAACAGAAAGGAAAAAAGGTACCATAATTTATATTTTGGGAGAACCCACCAATCAATAAAACCTTTGTCTATATATATAATCAAGGATAAAACAAACTTTGCAAGGCAGACGCATCGGAGCTTTTAGAAGTAATATTAAGGTTATTTAAAGTTTTCCAAAAAGAAGCAGGATCTAGTCTAAATTTATATTCAAGATAAGCTTTTTTTTCGTTCCGTACAGCACTTGTTACCAGATTACGAAGCTGCTTGTATTCATATAGAGAGGTATCAGTTTTTAACTTTTATTACTACCGTTTTCCCGTTCAAAATATTCTAATAAAGTTGCGATGAGTTTTTTATGGCTAGTAAGTTATCTTGTACACTTAAAGAGGTTCTAAAAAGAACAATGTTCATATTATATATAAAAATATACAATAGTACCCACTTTATCTTTACAAATGTATTTCTTTATTCCCAAAATGTAAGTAATAATTATTGTATGTCGTATGTTTATACTTTGTTGCAGGACGGTGGTTCTATTCCTGTTCAGCCTGCAGGCGTTCGTGTTTGCGACGGCGACGCCCTCTAGCGCGCGGTTCTACACGATACATTGGAACTCGTCAAACCCCATCTTTCGTATAGACAATACCGACAACATTATAGACGTAAATAGGAATAATTTAAAATTTGAGTACGATCAGGTGAGTAAAATAGTTAATTTTGGAGTAATAGCATTTTGTCTACGTATTGGAATTTACAGAACTTTGTTACGAATTCATAAGCAGTCACGAAAAGAAAACAAATGCTTACTTTGACGTTTGTGGTTATATGATAATCAAATATATTATTATAAGACTATATTGCTAGTACCGAATTTACACTGACCGGAAAGTGAAGCCAAAGAAAAGAAATAGGAATATCAATCTTGCATAAGTCTATCCTAAAACGGTCTGATTCGTCTACTTCATCGCTGAACGCTGTCACTATTTTAAACTCTAAATATTAATAACGTTTTTATAATATATTTTTTATTGCTAATGGCATTATTTAAACCTGTTATTTTAGATATTCATCATATCTATCCGTTTCTTGTTTTTGTTTAAATATGTCAGAGATTAAATTTAAATTTGACAGATTTGACACTTAAAAGAATAAACAAAAAATAACTTGCTGTCATATAAAGTGCCAATTGGATTTCCAAAGCAGACTTGATCTTTTGAGCGAATTTTTAAAAAATCTAATTTTTTAGTGAATTTACATAATAATGAATAAAAATTATAGATACCACCGTATAGATTATTTTTTGCTCGTTGTGCGGAATCTACAAAGCTTAGAAATTTTCTGAAAACGGCATTTAAGAAGGACGAGATCAAAAGTATAAAACTACCAACTATGCGTTGGAATAGATACAATAGTTCTGAAGATATTGTCATTTAAAATAAACGTATTAATCTAATTTTTTGACATAAATCCGAAACTAATCAGAATACCGGAGTTTTCTTCATAGGTGTTTGTCAAACTTCTAATTACGCAACTTTTGTCCCTTTTAACCGAATTCGTATCTCTCGTAGTTTCTGAGCTACCAATGTTGAGCATCGAAATTGTGTCCACCCTGTATAATAAATTCGATGATAATATATCAAATTATTTTCATTTGGCAGCTTTGTCTTGAACAATACTTTAGATTTTAACTCGATTTTTCAACTGTACCCAATCTACTGTAATCAATATGGCAATAGTTGCTTTCCAATACCAATTAACTAACTCTGCACCTGGGAGCAAAAGCTTCTCGTTTACCCCGCATTAAAAAATTAAAAATTAATGATTTTTCCGACTTTTTCTCCCAAATTCGCCCTCTATCCCATTCGCTGACGATGATGAGCCTCCAAATCGACGAAAATAATCTACTAAACTCTCCAGGTTCCATCTCTTAACCGGCTCCATCAAATATGCATGTCCTAAAACGATTAAACGTCGGATTTCGGTATGCCTCTCCCTCTTTGCTCCCACCTCCCTTACTCCCTGTATCCCTCCAGTCGTCTCATTCCTCACGGTCTGTTTCTATACAGAGTTTTACAGGGTGATTAAAAATATTTTTTTGACAAAAAATGGAGATATTAAGATAAATTAGATTATTACGGGGATTATTAAAATTGGGTTATTTCTACGGAGAAGATATATAAAAATTATTGTTCCTCGATAAAAACTGAAATTAAAATATCAAAACCATTTAAAATATTAAAATAATTAAGACAAGGGTGTTGGGAACACGAAAGGCCTTATTCTGTTTACAATTGATGGCGCAGAAGTGTACAGACCAACAAAAACCAATGTATGTGTGTTTCGTAGATTTCGAAAAAGCATTCGATAGAGTCAAACATACGAGACTTATCGAAATCTTGTATGAGTTGGGAGTTGACAGCAAAGATGTAACACTCCTGAAAAATATATATTGGCAACAAACAGCCCACATGAAAATTGAAAATGACAATTCCAATCCAGTCAATATACAGAGAGGAGTAAGACAGGGATGTGTGCTGTCTCCTTCGTTATTTAATGTTTATTCTGAGGCGATTTTTCGGGAAGCTCTCTCTTCAACAGATTGGGGTATTAAAGTCAACGGCAAAGTCATTAACAACATTAGATTTGCCGATGACACAGTTCTTATTGCCGATTCTGATACTGGTCTCCAGAGTTTAGTGGAACGACTTGAAGGCTCCTGTAAGAAATACGAGATGAAGATCAATTCTCTTAAAACTAAAGTCATGATATTTGGAAAGAACCAAAATGTACCAATTCCTATTAAAATAGAGGGCAATACCTTAGAACAGGTCTACAAGTTCAAATATTTGGGGTCCTGGATAGTTAACACCTTGAACAACGACGGACGAATAAATTATTAAAATTATAAGCTTTGGTCACATTTTGAATTTTTTAATACGACGACTTGAAATTCTAAAATTTTTGTAATTATTTGCATAATAAATCGATATCTATATTCTTATTCTATCTATAGTCACGCATGCATTATCTAAACAGGTGCATTAGGTAAATGTCTCTTACCTTCAAATATAGCAAATAAATGCTCTAATTTCCATTTTTTCAGAAACTCCTTTAAAGAATCCATATATCCTAAAATTTGTATACAATATGCATTTAAAAAGCAAATTATGCAAAATTCCAAGTGGAAAATTCCAAGCAACAAAACCCGTGCGTACTATGATGTGCGACCTATGAAGTGCGACGTACGACTGATCGGACTGCCGACAGTACCGACTGATTGTATATAACGTCCTTCGTCATCGTCTTTGCGTGTCGTTATTATTTTTCATCAAAAGAGTATTTAGCTATTGAAAAAATGGTCATGTTTCTTGAATGAAGTACTTCCTAGCGTATTTTTCTTATTATCTTAAAACAAAGTAACTTGCACTTGGTTGAATGAAAATAGATTAAAGAGAAATTTTCGATTTTTTCAAGAAAACCAGTTTTCTTGAGTTAAGAGAGTTTTTCTTCAGGCAAAATATTTTCTTTTACGCTAAAATAAATTCTCTTGCCACTAAATTTCTTTTTTCAAGACCGATGACGACTTTAGTTCAAGTCTATCTTTTTTATCAGCGTACGAAACAAACGAGACAATCAGATTATGACCTCCCATCTTATGATCTCCCAAATACAATGGTGTAACATTCTTGTCCAAAAAAGTATAATAATATATCGAATAATTTCTAAAATATCCGAATATAAACAAATTAAAAGAAAAACATTGATTAGAACTCAAATCGACTCACCCTGTATTTACTATTGCCATTTCCCGCTGGATAGTCTGCGAAACTCCCCCCCCCCCTTCCCCCTCCAACTCGGCTGGCTTTTCCCTGTCACTTTTGACAGGCCGGGTCGGAGCAGCGTCTGTGTCCTTTTTTAATAATTCACCGGTTTTTCCGTATTTTCGTGGAAAGTCGGGAAAACGGCGCATCTGAAATATTTCGAGAAATGTTTTTATTTTTCCCGAGCAGAAGAAGATGCTAAAGATATATTAAAAGTTTTTGATGTCTCCATATAACTTTGGTGTTCTGTAATTGTATAATGTCTGATTCGATCTGTGATGTTACGAAAAGGTTCAACAACCGATTAAAATAAAACACTAATTCACCACTATTCAACACTATATTCTTAACACTGGACGAGCATTTCTATAACCATCTAGCCTTTTGGTAGTGATGAGCTTCTCCTAGTCTTGTTTTTGGACTCGCTGCAAGCCTCTTGAAAGTCTGGCACTTTACTAGAGGCACTTTCTACATCTACAGAAATAGACATAGAATTTTCAAATTAATAGTATGTTAAGTAATTTTATCTACGTCAGTGAGTTAAGAAGCTCTTAACTCACGCATTTTGAGTGAGTTAAGAGCTTCTTAACACACGCATTTTTATTACCACACTCCTTGTTTAGATGACTACCAAAGAGAAAAAAATATTTTGTAAAACATTTATTTTGCACTAAATTGGAAAAATATGTTATGAGTTATGAAACCTGTTCATTTCCATAGGTGTGTACTTTTTTTTCGGTGCACCATTTTTCATACTTAGAGTATCTATATTCATACTTCAGTCACAAATTACCTATAACAGATGCGAAAGAACACCGAATTACGCGTTCAGGTTTCTGTGACCTTCAGAAAGAGTTCATAGACAATCCGCATCAATGTATAGTTTGGGTTATTATTTGTTTGGGTGAAAATAATCTGCACCAATATGTTATTGAGGCATACAAAAAGGTCCACAGACTTCGAGACATACGAAAAATCAAGTCCATTTAGCGTGTGTCGCAATTATCACACCTTAAAAAATTAGTTTTTTATAGCTATAGCAACTGCATCGACTATGAAAAAAGCTGTGCGATTTTCATAGAAAATAAGGGCACCTGTAATTCATTTGAGAATGTTATAAATCGCTAAAAGAGGTTTCAAATCTCTTGGATTTCTATTAATAATAAATAAATTTTATTAAAAATTGAACTAAAATTGTTAGTACCTATCATTAAAAACAATTCAAATTCAAAAATTGTATCAGTCAAATTCCCTCATTTACGGTGAATATTAAAGTAAATATAAATACATCTCATTCTAAGCTCTACTTATCTTTAAGAAAAATTTAAATCATTGTTGCAATTGGGCCTTAATGCCATTTCGAATGAACAATAGTATTAATAATGTACATTATAATAATAATAAATTTTATATCATAGTGTGTATTAAAACTACTAAAACACTTTTAAATTGGTATTATATTAACAACTTTTGTTTTTTAATCCAAAAAAAAGTTACCAATTTTCTCAATCAAAATTCCTCAAAAGGACCTTCGTTTTCCCATGTTCATCAAGGTAGGTAATGGGTAAACGGTAAAAAAACAGGATAATGAAATTTAAAAAAATACAAAAATTGTTCAAAAGTGCCTCCCTCTTGCATTCAACAATAACCCAAACGATCATAAAATCCCTTCCTCACATTGGATAACATATCAGGGGTGACAGTGTCAAAGGCATTAAATATTTTCTGCCTTAACTGCTCCAAGTTTTGAATTTCTTCATGGCCGTAAATTTTAGATTTTATGTACCCCCATAAAAAGAAATCATTCACCGAGAAGTCAGGTGAAATTAAACGTCAGTCTAAACAAAACTGTTATTTTTGAAAACTCGTCAAAATTT